ATGGCACAGTGAGTGCTGGAGCTGGTTCATGCAGGCCCATGAGAGGTCACTTTAAAAAAAATGGCTTATTTCTTATTAGAAATGCAGATATACAGAGATAAGGAGATACAGAGAGAAAGATCTTCTGTCTACTGGTTAACTCCCCAGGTGGTCGCAGTGGGCCAGGCTGAGCCAATCTGAAGCCAGGAGCCTCCTCCGGGTCTCCCACTCAGATGCAGAATCCCATGGCTTTGGGCCATCTTCGACTGCTTTCCCAGGCCACAAGCAGGGAGCTGGAGGGAAAGTGGAGCATCCAGGACATGAAGCAGCACCCGTATGGGATCCTGATGGTTGCAAGGCGAGGATTTAGCCACTAGGCTACCACGCTGGGCTCCAATGGTCATATTATAAGAATGCTGAGAGCTATTTTTAAAAATACAGCTGTGTAAACTTAAATTTGTAGAGGAGTATCAAAAGAAATTCCTGCCTAATTGTTTTACTGTTGCTCTGGGGTTATCTAGGTCTATGATATCTGTGCAGTGGGGATAGCATGAAGTAGCAGTACATTATAGCACTTTGAGTAGTACAGTAGAGAGTGGTATGTAACAGTGTGTGTCTTCATTGACTCTATGCCTGGTTACATCTCAACCTGAAGAGGGCAGGGGTAGGAACATTCACGCCACAGAAGGTAGCCCATGTCAGAGATCATTTCCCCTCCAGAGCAGCTGTTGGGTATTTCCCAGCATGCTCACATCCTCAAGAGTCAGGCAGCCAGCGTTTACATGAGGGCACTACCACTTGTTAACAATGTGAATCAGCTAATGCATTAGTCAGCTTGTAATCACTACCAAAAAGAGCTTGCAAAGAAAAAAGGCTATTTTGGCTCACAAGTTTCAAGTGCTCCATTGGCCTGACTGACATCTGGAGAGACTGGCAGGTAGCAGCAGAGGAATGGTATAGAGGAAAGATTTTGTGGTATGCTAGGATGCAGTGTGCTGGACCTACCCAACACCCTATTCCCCAGGCAGCTCCCCTCCAGGCAAGGACCTCCACCAACTCTGGGGCCTCCCGCCAGTCCCCACCTTCCTGGAATTCCATCATCTCCTTAGAGCTCCCTCAGGGCTACTGACATGCAAACCTGTGTTCAGATTTCCTCAGAGAATGAGACTGATAAGATTACTATTTTAGTCTGTGCTGCTGTAACAAAACACCTGAAGCCACTAGGTAAAGAACAGTTATTTATTTCTGATACTTCTGGAGGGTGGAAAGTCAGGGATGGAGGCACCTGCAGGCCCTCTGGGAAGAACGTGGTCTTTGCTTCCAAGGTGGTACCTTGAGTGTTGCACCTGCTGGCAGAGAAGGAGAAAAGAAAAAAAAACCCACTCCCATACACCTGCTTTATGGCAAACATTCACCCAAGTACCTCTCATTGGGCCCCCACAAGGAATGCTGCGACACTGGAGGTTAAGTCTCCAACAAATGAATTTGGAAGGGTATATATTTAAACCACAGCAAGTAATATATGCACTTATGTATGTATATACTTGAGATAATCCAAGTCAAGAGCTTAAAACAGAGCCAGACATAGCTGCCCAAGAGATAGCAGCAAATTGTTTACTTATTAACAGAGAAACAAGAATGGACTATGTTGGAGCCAATGAACTCTTACTGACTGCCTGAAACTTTGTCCTTAAGCTTTAGCTCCCAGGGTAATAGGGGGAAATCCGGCCTCTTTTCCCTGGAATGCATATGCATGGGCATCAGACCCAGTGCACCCAATGCTCAGTGAAAGAAGAAATGATGACAGAGAACTCTGAGTAGTGGGGTGGCTGGACATAGTCATTCCAAAGGCTAGTGGGTCAATATATAACTTAAACAGTCCTCAGGCAATGTAGCATCAAAGCATTTGCAAGACTACATTTTTCAAATACCCTCTGGAGACATCAGAAAGCTGACAGACTGCATGGAAAAGGAAATAGTTGCATTTTTAGGGCTTGAATTCACCAGGAAATCAAGCAAGAGACTGAAGTCCCAGACTTGCTCCAGGCAGTGAAAGTCTACAGAGGAAGAGAAAGGAACACTGAAGGGAGTGTGCCCCCAAGGCTGCATGGAGCGGCTAAGAGGAGGGAGAGGAAAGCTAAGGAGAAAAGCTGGACTTCGGCCTCGGGGAAAGGATGGGATGCAGTGTTTACTTCAAGCCTTTAGGGGGCGCCCACGCCTAGAGGAAGAACAACAGAAACCGCCTCCCCAAGTGAAAACAGACGCAAAGGCAACTCTACCTTGTGTATTCTGAGAATTGCCTTCTTCACTGTGAGAAGAATCAAAGTGCCCAACGTGCCCACAGCCCTGGGTTCCCAGCTGCAGTTGGTTCTCTGCTCCTTCAGCTTTGCCTGCCTCTGCTTCAGAAGACTAGCTCCCTGGGGAACTGGAGAGAGGGAGAGAGAGGAAGGAGAAAGGGGAGAACAGTCAGATAATGGTATCTAAACCATGCTAGGTAGACAAATTAGTTAGGAACCAGCAGCCAAAAAGGAGCCCATGAGGCACCAGGGTGGGTTAATGCATCCAGGGGTTCTGGGCTGGGGAGCACAGCTTTATGGGAAAGACACCAAGCTGAAAAACTCTGGTGTATGTGCTGTGTCTCCTCCAGGAGCCCTGCTGGGATCCTGAGACCTGCAGGGCAGGGGCAAGACCCCCCGAGCAGAGGACGGTTGAGGAGCTTCACTCTGGGTTTTCAGAGGGGCGGGCGAGGGGTGCCCCTGATGTAGTATGAGAGCTTCCATTTCCTCTGTGTGGACTCAATGAGATCTCTAGGGTATATGGACAGGCCTCTGGCAGCCCGAGACATGTTGTCGAGATTACTGCTGGCAGGGTCACTACCTGCTCAGAAGGGGAGAATCCCAGGTCTAGGGCCTACGGTTTTAGAGGCAGAACGGAAGGAGAAAGTGAGGGGAGTGCAGCTGCAGTCCCATGTGCCCAAAACCCAACAGCTGGGCTGGAGCAGTCCAGCCAGAGATGCCCTGAAATCAGGAGGAGGGGGTCAAGCAACGTCCAGAGGAGCCATGGCATTGCTCATGCTGCCTAGGACTTGCAAGTCCAGCTTTGCAACCATGTCCACAGCACACATGTTTTCATTTGCAGTTCAGGAGAGGACTTGAAGGCAGAGGGCAGAAGCTTGTCACATGTTTCCCTAGAGGTCCTGCAAGTCAGTGTCCTCCATTGGAAAGGAACCTTTACGGGAAAGACCAGGGATCTGAGACCTCTGCTAAGGCCGCATTAGGGGCCATCAAGAGCATGGAGACATCAGAAAGGGTTCTAGGCCCTTTGAGGCTTGGCAAGAGAAAAGGAGTCTTGGAACCTCAGACTGGCCCCTAGCGGATTCTTCCTACAATTCTTTGTTCACCTAGCTTTCATATGTCAGGTGGAAATGGGACAGATGTTGGGAGTGGCCCCAGAGGGTACAAGGATAGATAAGATGGAAGATAACAGATGAGATTCCAGGAAGAAAGAATAGATCTGGGGCATTGAGAAGCAGGACTATCAGATAAGAGACAATGATGAGCCTTTGGTGACATGACATGTCCCTAGCTCCCCAAATTCCCCTTGCCTGAGAAGGGGGAAACTGTTAAGAAATTTGACTGCAACAACAAGCAACATCAGTCAACCCTAAAAATGTATTTTTTTAACCCAGCAAATATTTATTGAGTAATTACTATTCACGAGGTTCTACTTGAGGTGGCAGGGACACATGGTAAACGAGGAAGTTAACAAGATATTACCCCCCCACACACATACATACATAATGATAGGCAGATAAAATAATTTCAAATTCTAGTAATTAATGTAAAGGAATCTGGCAAGATTCTGAAATTGCTGGGTAGCGTGGTCAAGAAAGGCTTCACTGAGAAGGTAGCATTTAAGCAGGAATCAGCTGTAAATATTGTGAAACCCCAGCTACAGTTCTGTTTGTTCTGTGATGGGTAAATAAAGCATTTCACCCTTTAAGCTGGAAACTACTAAGAAAGACTAATTACCGGCAGTGGCAGTGTTCTCTGGGAAAGAGACACCTCCTCTTCCTGCCCCATTGCTGTCAGCTCTTCTCTCCAGGCAGCTTTTTAAAAAATATATTTATTTTATTTTTATTGGAAAATCAGATATACAGAAGAGGAGAGATAGTCAGGGAGATCTTCCATCTGTTGATTCACTCCCCAAGCAGCTGCAATGGCCGGAGCTCTGCCAATCTGAAGTCCAGCCAGGAACTTCCTCCAGGTGTTCCACGCAGGTGCAGGAACCCTAGGCTTTGGCCCATCCTCGACTGGTTTCCCAGGCCACAAGCAGAGAGCTGGATGGAAGTAGGGCCGCCAGGATTAGAACCCATATGGAATCCTGGTGTGTACAAGGCAAGGACTTTAGCCACTAGGCTACTGTGTTGCCCAGCCCCGTCCAGCCCCCCAGGCAGCTTTTGCAAGGCTCTTGCTAACAAGGACTGAGGGGTTTGGGATTGTCCCCAATCACTTGTCCATCAGTAAAACTGAAACGGCTTGAAAATTCTCCAGAAAGCCCTCTGATGGGGCCTGGAAAGAGCTGTTATCTGAGCATATCTAAGCTTATATGCATATAGGGTTACTAAGTGCATATACATTTCAGTGTCTGCGTTACAACAGGCTTGACACTTAGGACACAAAAAAAGTTAGTTCTCTCCTTCACTGTTGCAGAGATAAACTTGCCCACAGAGAGGTGATCCTCAGGCTACCCTCTTCCCTGACTGTGGACACCTAGACCCCATTGCCCTTGGGATGCTAACACCACGGGATAATCCCTGCCAGAAAGTTGTTGAGGGGGATGGGGTCACTGCCGGGAAGAGAGAATCTTGGACTCAGATTTCTGTCCAGACCCTGACCTTGTTTGCAGTGATATCATCAGCCAATATTGGCATAATCCCAGGAGACAGCTCTTTCCCAGCGGGGTTAGAAGCGGGGGTGGGGCTCCTGCTAACACTATATAAGGAGTTCAATCAGGTGTCCAGAGTTGTCCTGTGACATCTCCAGCTCAGCATAGTTATGGCATCGGGGATACCTGTTGCATTAGGGGTCTTGGCCCTGTGCTGGTCTCTGGCCACCGTCAATCCTCTTCCTCTGTAAGTAGAGCTGGGACTAGGGACAGAGGATTGGGGGCTGGACTACTGTAAGATAGGGCTAGTTTGTGGGTCAGGAGTTAGCAATGACTAATGGGTCCCAATGGACCTATACAGCTACCTGTGTTCTCTCCAGGGCTGGCACCCACGGGAATGCTGCTGAAGGTGGGAGTGAGACCAAGCTGGACACAAATGTGATTGGTGAGGCCCTAACTCCCAGAGTCAGTTTGTCTGAATGTGCTTCTGCATTCTATCCTCTCACTGGTCTCTCTCCCCACCTTCACCCTAGAACACTGTTCAGATGGCTGGAGCTTTGATGCCACCACTCTTGATGACAATGGGACAATGCTGTTTTTTAAAGGTATGACGGGGAACTAGGATCAGGTCTTTTGAGACCTCAGCCCTTCATGGGAGGCATCTCTAGCAGTGGAAAATCTCAGGAAGGATCTAAAGGTGTCTTGGATAATTTCTCTGTAACCATCTCAGTAGAGCAAAGGACTTTTCTGGGTTCTTCAGCAAGTATGGCTTTTTCAGGTGAGTTCGTGTGGAAGGGTCATAAAGCAGTCCGGGAGTTGATCTCAGAGAGGTGGAAGAATTTCACCAGTTCTGTGGATGCTGCCTTCCGCCATGGTCACAACAATGTCTTCCTGATCAAGGTACTGCTGGGCCATGAACAGAATCAAAAAAAGTGCTGGAATCAACATTAGAGGCCCTCGACCAAGAGTTCCTGACATGAAGCCCATACTAATGGGCATTGAGTTGATTCTCCCTCTGCATTCCTTTCCTGAAAAAGCTCAGGGTGCAGGAATGTGTGCGCATGGCAGCCTGGCAGGTATGTCATCCAGTGACTATCCTTCAGTCCGGATTCTAGTTTTAGGTTGCTCTGCTACATTGCTTGCTCTTGGTCACCATTTCCTTCCTGGAAGTGTCTTTCCTTGTCTTCCGTGACTCAGCAGCAGGTGTTCATGTGGCAGAGCAGGCTGCTCCAACACAATGGCACCTGGATGAAGTGGTGAATATGGGATGAAATTCACCCTACTGTGCTCATCAGGCCTTTTGCCCTGGCCCAGGCTGTGTCTGTGAAGAAGAAAGTGGACCAGCTCCTAACTTGCCACAGGTGCTGTGTGATTGGGGCAGCCTTTCCACCAGCCTATTTCCCCTCGCTTCCTGTCCCTCCTTTTTCAGGAGTTCTATCCTCATCCAGTTCTGAAATATTCCCTGCGGTTCCAACGCAGCCCTTCTGTGGGTGATCTCAGCCACTGCCAGGCTCTGAGGACTCTAGATACTGAAGACACCAGACCTAGATCTTTCTCCTGAGTTTCACACGTCTCTTTCTAATTTCCTGTAGGGAAAAAATTCCTTAGATCTTCCACAGCCATCTCAAATCCAGCGTCCCCAAACTGAATTTAGCATCTTTCTTAGAAACTAACCCCTCCACCTGTGTTCCTGGTTTCTATAACAGCATCACCAGGTGCCTGGGTACTGCAAGCAGGTGTTTCTGGGGGTCTGCTGACCTAGATCTTGTATATCTTTTCAGGTTTGTCCTCTCCCTTGCCACAAGTGCTAGCTACTTGGATTACATAAGGTGTTCAGGGCACACTGTCCTTTCTCATTTTTGAGCTTTGCATGCTGCTCCCTCTGCTGGTAATATGCTTTCTTCTCTTCACTTGTCCACCTGAAAAATTCCTGTTCATCTTTCAAGTCTTCATGCCAAATGCTTCCTTTTCACTGTGAAGTCTTCTGGAGCCTTTCAGTGCATACCCAGATGCTTTCTTCATGGGCCCAGTTCCACTTGACATGCTTTCCACTGTGGTGGTTGCATGGCTGGTTTTGTTGGAATCCTTTTTTTTTTTTTTTTTTGTACAGTGAACTCCTTGAAGTCAAAGCCAGGATTTTAGCATTCCTGATTCCCAGTGTGTGCCTGACATACAGTGATTATTCAGGAACCATTTCTTGAATGAATCAGAAATAAATAAACATGATGGATAAAGGGTGATTGTAGGATGAGTATTTGTGGGGGTAATGACCAAGCTAATGGTGTCACAGTGCCATGAAAGCGTCTGGTTGTTCATAGCTCTGTGTGTGTGTGTGTGTGTGTGTGTGTGTTATGGTTATAAGGATTGGATTTTCACAAACTGATGATATGCTCTGTGTAAGAGGATACTGCACACTGATATCCACTGATGGAGTGAGGGTGTATGGGACTGCAGGAGGATATTGGGTCAATGCACCAAAGCAAAAATGTTGTATGCAAATGTAGAGTGGCAGTATCAGGGACACAAAATCAATAAGAATCTTCTTTTGGATGTAGGGGGACAAAGTCTGGGCATATACATCTGAAAAGGAGAAAGGTTATCCAAAGCCACTCCAAGATGAATTTCCTGGAATCCCATTCCCATTGGATGCAGCTGTGGAATGTCACCGTGGAGAATGTCAGGATGAAGGCATCCTCTTCTTCAAAGGTCAGTAGGAGCCAGTATCTTGGGTATTGGAAAGTTGGTGGTGATGGAGTAATGGTACACACAGTGATGGTAGTGTTGTGATGGTGATACTGATTCTGATTGAATGGCTATTCAAGGAAGAACAATGGAAAACCCAGTTATGATCTAGAGGTCAAGTAGTCATTTCAGTGAAGGTAACTAAATATAATTCTTTCAGTCCTCATTCCCCAGGACCCTCAGGACAAATATACACTCCTCAGTGTCACCTGTGTGGGCCTCCTTGACCAAACCTCTCTTGATCCTCCAGTTTGGTTACTGCCATACCTTTACCCTGAATTGTAAACTTCAGGAACTTATGCTATAACCTGTTCCCTCTTTTGTCTTCATGTTTCAGGTTTTTTCCTTGTCTCTGGGGTTCCATCTCTCCCTGGTATTGTAACTCCTACTTTAAACTTCAGTTTAAGTATCACTTACCCTGGGGAGTTTTCCTTGATTCTCCCCGCTGTGCTGGTGAGCTGATCTCGTGCTCCTTGCTTCCAAATGTTATTGTCTGGTCACTCTCAACTGTCTACTTTCTGAGCTGTGAGCTGCTTGTGGCCAGTACCATGTGTGACCTGTGAGAGGGCTACACACACACACAAAAGTGCATAACCCAGCCTCACTGTATGCTTGTTGATTGATTGAACAAAGGTAATCGCAAGTGGTTCTGGGACTTTGCTACGGGAACCAAAAAGGAGCGTTTCTGGCCGGCAGTTGGCAACTGCACTTCAGCCCTGCGATGGCTCGGCCGCTACTATTGCTTCCAAGGCAACCAGTTCCTCCGCTTTGATCCTGTGTCAGGAGAGGTGCCTCCTAGTTACCCTCTGGATGTCCGAGACTACTTCATATCCTGCCCTGGCAGAGGTAAGAAAGCTGTAATTCCTGGAACCTGCTGGAATGCTTCTATCTTCTTTGAGCCTACGGACCCTGACTCTCCATTTGTCTCTGTGTTGTAATACCTCAGCCCCTACCTTAGCCCAATTTTCATTTGGGTTCTTCCTATTGGCCTGATGTTGGGAAGCCCCCTGCCCCACTAGCCCTAGCAATAACTTCACCTCAGATCTTGCTCTGACCTTGGGTCTTCCTCTCTGTGCCTCTGACCTATTTTTCTCCCTAGGACATGCACCACGCCACAGGAACAGTACCCAACATGGACAGAACACACACTGCAGGCAAGACCTAGTCTTTTCTGCACTAGTGTCTGACAACCATGGTGCCACTTACGTCTTCAGTGGTGAGAGATACCTGCACATCCCCATCTCTGCCCCCTCTCGGTTCCCTGCTATCTCTGATACATTTCCTCTACTTTCTTGACTGCATCCCTCATTTTGCCCCCTTTGTCTCCCATTATAACCCCCACCCTTTCATCCCTTATCTCCTCTGATGTGTATTTTTCAGTCTAGTCTCCCAATGCCCACCTGTTTATTGTCCAGCACCATCTCCTGCATCTGTGGGGACTTTTTTAGGCCCCCATAACTCCTCATGTCCTCCTTGCTCATGGATCTGTTTTACCAATCACAGACCCCTTTCTCTTGCACATCTTTCTGAGTCTCCTGGTTCCCACTGGATTTGGGCTTAGGAAAACCATCTTTTCCCAGGTGTCTAGTTTCCATGTCCAGGCTCCTGGGTGCATTAGAGCCAGGGGATATCTCCAAGATAGGGATTGAGCAGTGACATTATGCCCAGTGATTAAATACAAAAGGAAGATAGTAGCAGGAATATGGAATATTGAGAATATTCGTTTGCTGCTAACTTCTGAACAACTCTAATCAGTTATGAGTGCCTTGCTGTATTGAAAAAGGCACAGCCATGTGAAGGGCATATTCCCTTAGTGAGAATGCACACTGTAGTGAGAACATAGAGGCTTGGTGAAGCACACTTCTGCAATTAAGTACAGGAATATACTGAGAACATAGGCCACGGTGACCACACACTGCACTGACAAGAGTGTGAGACATACACATACACCAGCAGAGAAAGAGAGAGGCGGGGAGGGGGGAGAAGGAGAAAGAGGGAGAGACACTGAGAAAACAACGCAACAGAAACCACCCAGATATATAGAGAGAATATAACCAGAGGGATCATAGAAATTCAAGGCCATGTGGCCATTGAGAGAATGCAGTTAACTTGCTAAATGAAGTGGTCTTTCCTGCTAGGAGAGCAGGCAGCCAAGGAAAGAATACTACTATGTCAAAAACAAACTGAACCAAGGTGAGAACTCACTGTCTTGGTGAAAACATCACAGTGGCCCAGCTATTCAGCATGAGATTGGTTGTCCCTGACAACTTTTTCTGCTTTCTGTGCGTGTGCCATTGTGTCTTCCCCTTATCTCCACTTCATGATTTTGTTGAATGCGTGGTTGAGGCTCCTGTGCCCCCTCTCCCCTCAACTCTCTTCCATTACACGTCAGTGTCCATCCTCCATGGAAATTGTCCTGAGCCAGGTCACCAGTACCCTCCAACTTGCCACTTCTAATGGTCAATTCTGTGTCTTCAGCTGACTGCTCAGTACTTCCTTCTCCAAATACTTTCTTCATACCTTGGCTTCTGCAATACCATGCTCTGCTCGTGCTACTTTTTCCCTCAGGGCCTCTTTTTTCCCTCAGGGACCCTAACTCCTTTGTTGGTCCCACCTAGTCCTGGAGCTTTAAATACCTTTGATATGCTCGTAACTTCTAGCCTTGCCCCTTCAGCTTCAGTTTTCTACTCCTTTGAGCTTCAGGCTGCAGCTGGACTGACTACCTGATGTGCTCAGTTGGGGCAACAAAGTACCAAATGCTTAACCTGTCCAAATCATTTCTGCCCCTGTTGAACACCCCCCCAAGACAGAACAAACAAAACAAACCCCCTCTCCTCCCTAGTCTTTCTGAGTCTTAGAAAGAACCAGCAGTCACTCAGTTTCCTGGTTCCCAAAAGCTAAATTCTTCATAAAATCTCTCTCTTACCTTCCCAACCTGACAAGAATCCAGTCTATCAGCTTATGCTGTTAGTTATTTTTCCTAGCTATCTCATGGTGACCCCTCAGCACCTATGCTGTTTATCATCTTAATCCATGCAGTTTTCACCTCTGGCCTGGCTGGATTCCCTTACTTGAACAAGTGTAACTTCCTGTGGTGCTCTGCAAAAAAACCACAATGACCTTATAAAAAATGAGTTAGAGCATATCACAGCCCTGCTGAATATTTATCTTTGCTTCCTTTTGTAGTTGGAAATCCTTCCCAGGCCTGTATAACCTGTCCTCTGCTGCTCTTTCAAACCACTTATCTGCTCTTTGTATTCCAGTGACACCCACCTTCTTTTTTGATTCCTGGAAGTACTGGATGTTCACCCTCCCTAAAAAGCTCTGTGTGACTAATCTCCTTTTCATCACTAGAGTCTTAGCTCAAGAATCATCTCTTCAGTAGAAGGGTGCCTCAAATTTCCTCACCACTGATCCATTATACTGTCTTATTTTCTTTATAGCTTTTAATTCTGCCTGACATCATTATCTTTCTTTCACTTTCTGATTGTCTCCTCTCCCTCCAACAGACTTATGAGGGAGGTGACTTGTCTACCACATTGTCTATTGGAAAGGCAGGTTTTACAGAGAGGAAAGACAATGGGAAAGATCTTTCATCCACTGGTTCACTCCCCAAATGGCCACACCAGCCAGAAATGAGCTGATCTTAAGGCAGGAGCCAGGAGCTTCTTCTGGGTCTCCCACGTGGATGCAAAGTTCCAAAGACTTGGTCCACCCTCTGCTGCCTTCTCAAACCATAACCAAGGAGCTGGATGGGAAATGGAACAGCTGGAACACAAACCAGTGCCCATACGGGATTCCAGTGCTTGAAGGTGGAGGATTAGCCAGTTGAGCCTTTGTGCCAGACCACTTCCCGTACCCACACCCACATTGACTATTAAATCTTGATGCCTGGAACAACAATCAGTATCTCTAAGGTGCTCAATAAATATTAAGTAAATATCTTATGGCAGTGACCACAAACTCTCTTTATAGCTGTGTGGGTGTAGGGTCCCAAGCACTTTTCCAGGTCATAAGTAAGGAGCTGGATGGGAAGTAGAGCAGCTGAGATACAAACTGGTGCCCATATGGGATTCTGGCACTTGCTTGTAGAGGATTAACCAGTTGAGCCATTGCACTAGTCCCAATGTGTGCCTTTTGAAGGCAGCAGATGATGACTCAAATAGTTATACCTCTGCCTTCCACAGAGAGAGACTTAGGCTGAGTTCCTGGCTCCTGGCTCAGGCCTGATAGCCCAACCCTCACTGTTGCAAACACACTCTCTCCATTTCAAATAAATAAATATTAACTAAAAATAAAAGAAAAGGGGAGAACAAAACTGTGATGCTGGTCTGGTGACTCCCCCACCCTCCTGCCACCTCCCAGAGATTGTGGAACACAACAAGAATGAGAATACTCAGTGGAAACTTTTGGTGATTCTTTCCTTTTAACTTCTGACCACCTTATCTCATCACCTGTAAGCCTATCTTGGTTCATGGACACCTGAGATACAGAAGGAGCCCCCACCAAGCCTGAAGATGTTGATGTTACCTGGATACTTGACCACTGTTCCGCATGCTTGTCTCCCTATCAGATGTCTACTGATTCTAATTCAACTGGTCCTCTATGCCCCATGTTGCTGACCAAGTCTTGCTGGTGTCTTCCTTTATGGTCTCTGAATATATTCTCTCACTCTTCATGATGCATCCCTAAATCTTTTCCTAGCCTCTTCTTTGCCTGGGCTTTTACCACCAGCCCTAGAGCTACTAATAAATAATACCTATAATACCTCACAGGATCCCACTACTGGCGTCTGGATACCCACCGGGATGGGTGGCATAGCTGGCCTATTGCTCATCAGTGGCCACAGGGTCCTGCAACGGTGGATGCAGCCTTCTCCTGGGAGGATAAACTCTATCTGATCCAGGTGTGTATTGGGAGAGAGACTTAGGGTAGAAAGTAGAACAAGAATATCCAGCTTTGTACTGATTGTTGTTCTTTATCTTCCAGGACACCAAGGTGTACGTCTTCCTGACAAAAGGAGGCTATACCCTCGTAGCTGGTTATCCAAAGCGGCTGGAGAAAGAATTTGGAAGCCCTCCTGGGATCAGCCTTGAGTCTGTAGATGCAGCTTTTGTCTGTCCTGGGTCTTCTCGGCTCCATGTCATGGCAGGTGAGAGGATTCTGAGTGCTAATGGGTGGCTTGTTCTACTTCCTGTCTGGATACAGATTTCCATTAGGACACAAGATAGAGTAGATCAGGATATCTGATATGGAAGTCATTTTATGTTTGATTAATTCTTCCTAGGACGGCACCTGTGGTGGCTGGACCTGAAGTCGGGAGTTCAAGCCACATGGACAGAACTTCCTTGGCCTCATGACAAGGTTGACGGGGCCCTGTGTACAGATAAGCCCCTGGGCCCCTATTCATGTTCTACCAATGGTCCCAGCTTGTATCTCATCCATGGCCCCAATCTGTATTGCTACAGTGATGTGGAGAAACTGAACGCAGCCAAGAGCCTGCCCCAGCCCCAGACAGTGTTGAGACTCCTGGGCTGTACTCACTGAGGGGCTTGGTGACATGCGTTTGGCCTAGTCCTACCTCCCTGATTTCCTCACAATAAAGCCACATTCTTTTTTTCAGTAGAATCCAGGTGCAATGACTGTTGAACAATCTTCATTTTTTCTTTGACTTGCAAATGTTAGTGACACAGGGCTGGCACATTGACTGAACTAGCCAGTCCTCCAGCTCCAAGTGCCAGCATCCCATATGAGTGCTGGTTCATGTCCTGGCTGCTCCACTTCCCATCCATCTCCCTGCTTGTGGCATGGGAAAAAAGTTAGAGGATGGTCCAAAGCCTTTGACCCTGCACCCGTGTGGGAGAATTGCAGACCAGAAGTTTAAGTTGCTTTGCCACAATGCCATTCCTGTGACTTCTCTTTTGAAGCTCTGCAAGTTTAAATAGGGTTTATGAAATAAAGAAGAGGAGGAATAAAGGATGAGTGTCATTTCTGTTAGTGATAGCTTCCAATGGCTGGTTCACATCCTAGATACCTGCAAGGGTTGGGGACCTCAAACCCAAGAACCAGGACCTCAATCCTGCCACATGGGTGGCAAAATCTAATCACTTGAGCCATTGTACTGTTTCCTATGGGCTTTGTTAGCATGACTCTGGAGGCAGGAGCCAGGAGGCAAGCGCCAGGAATTAAACCCATGTACTAGAGTTTGGGATGCAGGTATCCTAACTAATGACTTAATTGTTAGCACAAACACTTGCCCCATGCACAGCTGTTTCTCAAATCCAGATTACAGACTGGCATTTCCCAAACTATGTACACAAAGTGGAGAAAAAGGGAGCCAGAATAGGAAGACAAACTGCTGAGTTTACACAGCAGGAAGCAGAACTAGGACTCTGACCCAATCAGCTAATAATTGACCATGACTTGGCCCCAAGGTATCTGAAATCTTAGGGCAGGGACAGCTCTGCGTGTGCAAAATAAATTGGTTCAGAGTTGCTGTGCAGGAGGTTCTAGCTGGTTCTAGCTGGTTCAGGCAACACCACATAAAAGACAGGCTTTGCTTGTCATGAGTTAGGCATAACACGGGAGTGAAGTAGAGGTGGGGAAACAAACACAACAACTCAGTGTCAAAGGCAAGTTGTAGAGAAGAAAGAAGGACCGAGTTAGGGAAGTGCTACCATGAAATACATTGGCATAAAATACATTATAGGGACTGGGCATGGGTGAGGTGGGTGTGGGGTTGACAGATACTTCTGTTGGAGCCTCAAGAGCTCTTTTGGCAAAGAGAATCTGGCCTTCTCTTTTCATAAACTGACCGAGGACTGGGTCTGAGCTGAGATCCTTCCCTTCTTCAACTTTCCAACTCAGTTGAAACTGGAAGTTGATTTGTCTAAGGCTTAAAAACAATTAGCCTAAAGAGACTGACTTAGAGCTTTCATGTCCTAACTTCAACTACCTCTCTTATAAAATGGCTCCAGCTCATCTCATCTTCCAATGACAATGAATGTGGACTCAAATCCACCTCAGGAAGAGCATCAGGAAGGAACCTTGTCAGTAACCTCAGAATGTGGAGCGCAGACTCATTGGTTTAGGCCTCGTCAGGAGGGTTTTGGCGGATATCAGACTCCAAGCTCCGACTTGTCAGTTATGCACTGGGAATCCAAGCCTTACCCTGGTTCCAGCCTTAAGAGCCAGGAGCAGGGTGAGTGTGAATAAATCTGAGCCTCTATGGTTAGTATTCACTTACGAAGTTGCTTGCGGCTGAGTATAGAGTTTAGGTGCTGGGCAGCATGGATGAGAGATCTACTCTCAGGCAGGGTCTTGAGATTCCCCCTTCTTCTCTGTGGTGTCTGGATGGTTTTCTCTATGGAGCTGGCAGCCAGTCTGAGAATGGAAATAAAGCAGGAGTCTTAGATTTGGGCCTCATTAAGTCTGTGAGGTCACCTGAGGCCACCATTGTAATTCTTCCAGGATATCAAGACTTGCTGGTACTCAAGATTTGCTCTCTCCTCCCTATTGATGGGGTGGTATTAAGTCTCCTCTTTCTTCTCTGCTCCTACCTGTTCCCTTTCAGGAAGCCTCAGGTTTTCTAGAGTAACTCCCAGAAAAGACCTGTCTCAGTCCTTTTAGGCTGCTACATTGAAATAATTTACACTGAACAATTTGTAAGTTTAAAAATGTGTTCCTCACAGTTATGGAGGCTAAAAAGTCCAAAATTAAGGCTCCAGCAGATTCAGTATTTGATAAGGACCCTGAGCTTCAAAGATAGCGGTTTGTTGCCACATGTTTCCATGGTTGCTATGTCCTTACAAGGTAGAATGGAGACAAGTAAATCCCGTTAGAATCTTTTGTAGGGGTACTAATGCCATTCATGTTAATGCTCTTGCGATGTAATCACTTTCCCAAAGCCAACACATTAATCCCATCACATTGAGTGCCAGGTGCCAATATATACATCTAGGAAACTTACTCTACCATTCTGAGCTGTGTGTGTGTGTGTGTGTGTGTGTGTGTGTGTGTGTGTGTGTGTGTGTGTGTGTAGCTGTGCTTGCAAAGTGAGAATGTGTGCATTGTATAAATTTCTGATCCATAAGAATATGGAGAACCATTCTAGGTGTTCCAAGTAGGGGAGGATTTAATGCTAGGAACTTGTTTTAAAGTTGTAAGATTTGGAGACACAGAGGAAGAAAAGCATAATTACCAACAATCAGAAAGATACTGCCAATGTCAGCTGTGCAGAAGAGACAAAGGCACTGCCCAAAGATCAAGTTATTGGAGCCCACAAATCTGCACTAGTCACTGGAACCACCTCTGCTTTTGCTAGGGAAGAATGATTGCTACTGATACTGTCAAAGGTGTCGCCCAAAACAGAAAGGTTTCTTCCTTCCTCCCACCTTCAGAACCAACGAAAACCAGGCTAACAGGTGAGTCTGACAAATGGGGTTTTTAGATTGTCAGCCCTGGTAGAACACGGGAGAGGACAGAAGAGTGGATGTGGAAATTAGTCCCAATCAACAATATCTGTCCCATATATTAATTAATATTTAATATAACTTGGTTTCAAGTGGTAAAACCCAACTGAAGGGTATAAGTAAAAATGCAATTTTATTGATTTACATAACTGAAAAATCTACCACTGGCTTCAAGTAGAGTATTAGGAAACATTATCTACATCGCTGAGCTCTGCCTTCCTTGAGATGGCTACATTCTCTGGAGGGCCTATCCTTCCTAAGGTAAGATGTCTACACGGCTCACAAAAGTATCTCTTGCCCAAAAATGCCAGGCAATTTCATGGATACGATTCTCACTTGCAGAGAGAGACAGAGAGAGAAAGGGGAGAGAGAGAAAAACTCCCTTCTGCTGATTCACTTCCCCAAAGCCTTCAGTGACTAGGGCTGGGCTGAGAACTAAGAACTCAATCCCCATCACCCATGTGGGTGACAAGGACCCAATTTTTTGATTCATTACCTGCTGCCTTCTAGGATCCACACTGGCAGGAAGCTGGAACCAGGAGTCTGGGCCAGGAATTAAACACAGCATATGAGCAATCTTCACCTGAATCTTAAATGTTAAGCCAAATGCCTGCCTCCACCGTTTCAGATTTAATCCTATGCCCATCCCTGAATTAATCACATTGGCTCGGATAGTCCAATCTCTGGTTGGAGCCACCTCTGAAATGGATTATGGGACTGGGATGATTTCTGTCTGAGCCACAGGGACTTAGAATCTGGAGAGAAAGCGTCTCTGAAGGAAACTGTTGTGCTATTGTCAATAGAAAGAGAAAATAATGTTGGACAATAGTGACAACAACATCACTGTTCACAATAGGATATCGTTTATCTTTAAGGTTTGCTTTTTCCCCATCCAACCTTCCTTTCATTCCTTCCTGAGTTACAGACTTTGAAAATACTGTGGGCCCGGAATGATAGCGTAGTGGTTAAAGTCCTTACCTTGAATGCACCGGGATCCCATATGGGTGCCGGATCTAATCCCGGCAGCCCCACTTCCCATCCAGCTCCCTGCTTGTGGCCTGAGAAAGCAGTCGAGAACGGCTCAAAGCCTTGGGACCCTGCACCCGTGTGGGAGACCTGGAGGAAGCACCTGGCTTCTGGATTCAAATTGGCACAGCACCGGCTGTTGCAGCCACTTGGGGAGTGAATCATCGGATGGAAGATCTTCCTCTCTGTCTCTCCTCCTCTGTATATCTGCCTTTCCAATAAAAATAATAAGTAAATCTTAAAAATAATACCCTATTCCTTCAGTATGCAAAGTTAAGTATCCAGTTGTTTCAAGTGAGCTTGTGATCTCAGTCTTCATTGTCTCCAGAATCTTGCTCATTCATCTTTATTTTAAGAACACATCTTCTCTATTGCTATTTTTGTAGTTTATAGCCATGTTAAGCCTCCACCATAAAAAAACAAAACAAAAAAAAAACCTTTAGATCTGAGAGATGAACTTCATTCAATTTTATAATTTCAAGTTATTACTACCCTTTTTCATGAATAAATCACTGAATGTACAAATGGCTATACAGCTAGAGCTGGGCCAGGCCAAAGCTAGCAGCCAGGAGCCAGGAGCCAGGAGCTTCATCCAGGTCTCTTATGTTGGTATAGGGGCCCAAGATTTGGGCTATCCCCCACTGCTTTTTCAGGCACATTAGCAGAGAGCTGGATTAGAAGCAGGGGCAGCCAGGGTTTGGATTGGTGCCCACATGGAATGCTGGTGTTGGAGGCAACAGCTTTATCTGCTATACCATAACACCAGCACCAGTCATAGACTTTGCAGACGTGGGGGAAATCAGGAATTCAAGGATACTGTCTGTGAGTCATACATATCAGGAGGATAGCCAGGTGGGTTGCACATTGTCCTTTTGCATGGTAGCTAAACTACCTTCTCACTCTTCATCATGCTATCTCATGTCCACAGATTACGTGAAAGCATTTTACTGAAAATTGCAGCCTTCCTGCTCAGCAAGATTAACAAGACAAATATTCTGATAGGTTACCTATAGACAGGAGCTATATCTGATTTTTTTTTATTTGCTCAAAAATCTGGAAGTCCCACTTTCCTCTACAATGCATTAACTGATTGATCAACTGATCATTAATTTCTGTAAGTT